TAATTTGATGTTTTACTGCACAGAAAGTAGCAGGGAGCGGATTTAAAGTGGCGACTGTGATGTGATACTGAACTGTTTACCTCTGAAACTATGATTAGCCTGGACTTTCCCATCAGATCACATGATTTATTAAAAGTGAAATTATCAATTATAAAGGTCACCGATGACTGTTTGATTTACCTGAATGTTGATCCTTCCTGTTGTTATCCTTCCTCTGCCACTCGTGTCCTTTTTCACAGTGGATTGGCCATTTTTGGATTGATTTTTAAAAGAATAAACAAGGTTGCAGTTTTTGCACCTAGCTATTTTTTTTAATTTTTTTAATTTAAGGATAAATATTTGTTAAAGTATATTAAGTATTTAATCTGTGAACACGTGGAAAAGTTGTGATCAGGCGTTAATAATATGTAGTTGAAGAACGTCTAAAAATCAGGTGGTAACTCAGGTAATCACTGTTATGAAACCATTGTGTTTGACTTCTGTGTATTGGGTCATTTCATCAAATTCCTTTTACTTGACCAGCTCACATAAAAAAATAAAATAAAAAAGAAACTATGGAGAGATGTCCTTCATAATAGGAGTTATGGGAAAGGTCCCTGCTGTTATTATACTTCTCAAAAATCATTTCTCAAGTGAAGACGAGGGCTGAACTTTTTTAGATGTTTTTATAGCATCATTTTTTGAGTCAATTTAAAATTTGTTATGTAGAAAACTACTTGACCTCGGTCCTACAGATGTTTTAGAGTAAATACCTGTTTTTGTGGCTCTGAGGTATGGAGTCTTGTTTTGCCACCATAATAAAGATTTCTACTTACTATCTCAAAATTTCAATACCTAACCCAAATTTTTGACTTACAAGTGGGTTTTTTTGTTTGTTTGTTTTTTTACACTGGCAGAAACAACTTTCCACTCTTATTCCTGATTTAGTTTTCTGTGGGGAACCTTTGTAGAGCTTTTGTATAATTTCAGTAATCTGCTGACATTTTTGGGTCCTTATATTGATGCTGTGGTAATGATTTATATATTATCTTTATTTATCCTGATTGTTATTGTTAAATACAAAACAATGGCATCTAAACTACATGACTGAACTTTGACATAGTAGACACACCAATAAGCCGGACATCTTTAAACCTGCAGGAAAGCAGGGTAAGATAGACAGAAAACAGCCTGAGGCCTCAAACGTCCCTGCATAACAACGTGGAACGAGGCGTGGCTGGAACCAGCAGGGGACCTGCTTTCCACCTGCAGACAGCCACACCTGCAAAGCTTTATTACAGTAGTTTACAGATCAAGATCAAGACCAAGAGTGTCTTGGTCATCTTAACAAAACGCTATCAGAATTTTGAGGTTTAATGTATTTTGAAATTTGGAGGTTACACTGTGAGTTTATCAGCAATGTAAAAGTTCTCATTTCTTAAGAATGTATTAATTAATAGCAGTAAATGTCTGTTATTATTATTAAATGTTGAATAAGTGACTGATGGAAAGCTTACTTTTTTTTAGCTTTTTGATCTCCTCTGCCAGTCTTTGCTAAGTCTTGCCGCACATTAATGTGACTTTTATATTTTCCTCTAATCAGTTATTTCTTTTACAAAAACAGTCTCACAGACCGAAAATAACAGCGAATTTGCAGTGATTTTCCAAACCAAATAAATCAGCTGATCCTCGATTTTGAAGCCCTGGAACGACCTCTAAAAAGTTCTCTTCTCTTTCTAACAGCAATGAGCAGCAGTCCTGCGTCCGTCCAGATGGACGAGGCCAGGGGAAGAGCCCAGTCTCTCCTTTCGTCCTCGGGTTCAGCTCAGGAAGTGAAGGCCGACGTTCAGACGATGGCCGCTATCGAGCTGCCTCTGTCGGAGAAGTACCGCCACGTCTCAGCTGAGGTTATGCTGAAGGAGAACTCGGCAGGTCGCAACAAACAGGAGGTAATCTTTTCTCTTAAACGATCGTTTTAGTGCAGTTTGATGTAACATTTCTGTCTGTTTGATCCCCAAAGGTCTACTCAGTTTTTTTTATTAAGGAAAAAAAGATTTTGTGACACTTCTCTTTGATTTTTCTGGATGAAAACAAAGATGAAGATATCCCCAGGGGAGTGAAGAATTATCTTCAGCACTGTGGCTTCTGTTAGTGAATTTGTTCCAATCTTAAACTCTGCTACAGTAGCTTTGCATTATTCATTATTCAAAATAATCCTTATGCATTTTACACTGGGACTTGACAGTTCATCGTCTGTCTGAAACGAGCTGTTAGCCCCTCCCCATTTATGTCAGCTTGTTTCTGTTTGGTTACCCCTCTTTAAAAGATTTTGAGAAGGCCAAATAGGGATTTCCCTCTCTATGATGTCACACAGAACCAGGAGCTTAAAAGAAAGTCAGTGTTTAGAGCATTTTTCTTTTCTAAAATCAAGTTTGAGTATCGATATCATGGGATATAGCACAGCTTCAGCAGCAAAACTGCATCACTTCAATGTCTATGACACAGAGAAACAGAAACAAGTATTAGTATCCTGGATGCTTGTATTGTATTGCATAGTAATTCACAGGAGATATGAACAGGATAGGATGTGAAAGCTCGTTTATAACCTACATTTGATACCAGCCTCATCTGCTAGCTGTGATTAAAGTTTTCTCACGGTGTCTTATTTAAAAGGCTATGACGGGGGTAACATCATTGTTGTTAACTAAATCATCACAAATACTTCCTTTGGATGGAATAAAGGAGGCAAACTGACAAACATCAATA